GAATTGCTGTAGAGGTTTTTTCGGGATGAATGCATTTCAAAGGGGTGCTGTAGTCCGATCTTTTACTTCCAGGTAAAACGTTCGACGTCGCTGGTGGACGAGCAGGGTAGCGAGTGAGTTGGAGCGTCAAACTTGCCTTCAGCTGGGATTACTCAGACTGCCACAGCATTGCGCCTTCTTCTCCTTCCCTCTTTTAGCCCCCCTACATCGCCTATTCGAGCGCGTCGCAAGACCGGTTCCGTGTCCTATGTGGTCAAACTCAACACGTAACTTTGATTTTCAACAAGGATGGTTTGCTTCTATCCTTACTTACTTATCCTTACCCAGTAACGTTGATTTCAGTTGCATTGCTCCTGCCTGCCTCATTTCTTTTGCAGAAAACTACGGCAGGGCGATTCAAACTGGTGCAAGTATTGAACCTCCAGCCTCACCTGCCTCCTCTTCCTGGATGTCTGTACGTTTGTTCGACGTTTAGTACTTTTTAGTGACCCCGTTGGTTGAGTCTTTCACTGACTTTGTACAAACAAGCCGACACTTCGTCTCACAGCATCCTGCCGCGTCATTGGCTTTGTGCTCTGGTTGTTGCTTTTTTAAAAGGGAGGGTAGGAGAGGGACGAGTGCTTCTGCCTTTCTGTCCTCCTTTCAACTACAGGCAATTGATTCGCATTGGGGCAGGGGAGGAGCCTTGGGCTCTTCAGAGGGAGGGCCCATTTGGGGAGGGCGTTCGTCTCGGTGCGGAGGAGGAGGCGGTGCGTTCCGGTTCCTTATCGTAACGCCTGGTAGGTTGCGCGTCGAGTTCATCCTGGAGTGGAGTGCTTTCTGGTTGACTCGCAGGGGTCTGCTTCTTCATTGCAGTATTGAAGTAGCGATGGAGTGTAGTGTACTTGCGTCGAGGTTTCGACTTGGTTGCCAGTGTGTCGGTACCCTTCCAGTGCCTTGCGTTGGTTGGGTTATGCGTATCGTGTTTCATCTCGTTGAGGTGGTAGACTGCGTTGATGCTTTGCTACACCACTGTGACATCAGGTGCCGGAGGGAGCTTGTATGGTGTTGAGTGTAGCCCACTGGCACCGCCGGTGGTGGAGCAACTTGTAGGGACCTGTAGATTGCATGTTACTGTTCAGCCAATCGCCTTATCAAATATTGATAAGTATGCCTCAGTGTCTACCATTGGTACGGGTCCTCTTCCCACTTCTTTTCTACTCACTATCACATCACCAACCATAGCGTCGGGTCAACCGATCCGGCGGATGTGACTCCACCTTGTGGTCTACCTTGTAGACCCAATTACTGGTCACGTGGATGGGGTATTTGCGGAAGGTGCGACCACGGAGGGCATCGTCTGCGTTTATTTAGCTCGCATCGACTGCGAGAACGACAAACAGTGGACCTGCTTTGTGACTTTATGGGCTGGGTAAAAAAAAATTCGGTGCCGTGGGTGCTTCACGACATTTTGTAATGCAAATGAGCGGAAGAGACTAAAAAGTGGGTGAATGAAAAGATGGAAATAACCCAGAATTTCTCCTCGTCTTTATGTAAGGGAATGGCCCTGGCCTAGATCGTTTTTACCATTCATCAAATTCATTTGCTACTGGTGTCATACTTTCTGAACATGCACGGTAGAACTAACTAGAGGGTAGCTTGGACACTGCCTTTCCTTAAAAAAACCATGCTTCTTATGATTTAGTCATGGACATACTGTCACTGCAGCTATAACTAAATCAATACTGTGAAAGATCTTCATGACTAAGCGGTTTATTTCCGAGGATCATCTGTGTTTGTTTGGGTGCACACTTGGCTCTATGGGTCATATCACCTCCTTAAAAGTATGATGGTTAGACAGTAGGTTGATAATAAAATAATCTTCTGCATTGGCTTGGCAGCAGAGGGAAACGAATTTGATTAGAAGAAGTAGCAGCTTTGACTCTACTGGATAGTTGTCAAACCTAAATGTCACCAAAATGGAGCATTACCTATTGATGGCTGATTCTGTGGAGGCTCGATACAAATGAATTGACGAAACGATGCAGTCCCCCAGCAAGTCTCTAACCAATCAAAGCCAAACTTTATAATGGGCATTGATGAGTATCATGGCCTGAGGCCATGGTACTCTTCTTTCCGTCAAGTGGCTTTCCATCATGGTACCCGTCACGCAATCAGGAGAGCTCTTAGACCAGATCTTGCCTGAAAAATTCAACCTTGAAGAGGACAAGATACTTGGGAGTCCTAATCATATTTTCGCATCGTCTCCCACTGGTATTTATCCTTCTTCCATGATGAAAATTTATTATTATAGTATAGTATATGGATATCTCCCTGTCCACTAGTTTGAAAGTTAGTTCATGGGAAGATGGAAAGCTCCACAAAACTCGTGAGAGGACAAATAAATGCTTTTCCTGTTAAGTGGGCAAAGATGAGTTGTGAAAGTCGTCTGCGAGGATCTGTCTCTACGTCCGCCACAAAAGCGTACTTGAATAAGCCCCCAGAAAGAGAGGACTTCAAAATTCTCAACATTTCATCTAATTAAACCGCTTAGACCTAGGCCTTCTTCAGGTCATCAATGGGCGTAATCATCTTCTTCATGAGGAGTAATGAGTGTCGGCGGTAATTCACCTCCGCGCTACGTCCTCCATTTAAAATTCATCACCTCGGAGGGGAATAATGTTCTCTTTGTGGGTTTTCGAATTTAAGTGAGATTAAAGCGGACCTTCACCTAGCCCATCCAATATCAGCCTTGGCACTTCCAAATAGACGCATTCGACAACAGTTTGGTAAAAAAATGCAACCATTCTAACACTTCCTTATTTATAAGTGTAATTTATTTCGAAACTAAATTTGTGTTAACTGATGTACCAATCTGTAGTGTTTTAACATAAGACCTTAATGCAAGACCGCGTGGACTCAAATCTCCCACAACTCCCACCGATCAACTCAAGAACTCCATCCCATACAAAAGGATTTGAATAGCACTTCCAAAACATGCATAAATTTGTAAAACTTCTCTTCGATTGATTTAGACTGAAAACGTTATAGAGACCAGCATGAGTGGACTAGAGACAGAACTCAATAAGAGCAGCATGGTAGCCAGGTTACGAAAACTTGAAAAATTCGAGTGGTTTTTCTTGCGATTAAAACAATTGCACTGTCACACTTCATTACACCACAACTTTTCACTCCCTACTTCTGCCGCATGATCACATGGTTATGACCTACTGACGGCCTACACATATGTTAGTACCTCACCAGGTCTTCAGGGTCAACTCAAAGATGTACCAAGCTACAGCATGGTAAGGCAAAATTGCCTATCCATCTGCAAGTTTCACTGTGTATGGTGTGGGCCCGAGACATCGTCTTAAGTTAATTTAGTCAATACAACTTGTCATTTTTGTTTCAGATCATCTGTACCGCGAGAAAAGCGGTTGTAGCCACACTGGACCCGAAACATCTATTCTGGAGTGAGACGAAAAAAGGTACCCACTAACCAACGACAGTCTTTCTAACTAATTTTGGCTGTTCGATAAGATCAGACATCTTGCACGTCATAACCCAATGAGTGGTGTTGGAATAAAATCCTCCATGGACTTTCCTTCCACCTATGCACGATCGCTACTTCAACATATGAACTATCAAACATTCCCAACTAGACATAAGATAGCTGCGATAATTTCACGATCGTCAAACCCTTTTTTGCTAGGAGGCAAGGAGGACCTTACTCTAGCTACCTACCTCCGCGCTTTTTGCCTACTTATCTTGCAGTTCTAAATCACCTCCAGTTACCCGTTCTACTCAGTTCCAGTTCGCATGTGATTGTCCAGTGCCAAAAAATGTGGAGAGGAAACAGTACCACCTCCCCCATCCTCAAATGCACATCTTATGAGTATGGCAGTTTGGCAATGGATGATATGAGGTGAGGCGCATGGGTGCGTTGCGTTGACTGCTGATTTCTGTGACCCTATAGTGACCTCAGTTGACTCGTGCTGACTTGTGAGAATAGGATCCTCTTCTCACTTACAGACTGGTTGACTACTCCCGAAAACCTACCAAGAAGTTCCATCCTTATCAAGTGAATTAACCTCATCCGCAATTCCCCGGCCTTCAACAAAGCCACCACGACCTGCTGAGAATGACTGGCGACGAAGAGGTGGGTAGGCAACGAAAGCTGTTTTAAGCTACCTCAGAGATGTGGTGTGGACGGTGCGTGGGTGGTCAATCGGTGGTCGTTGATGGTCGAAGAACAGTGACATGTTCCTCGGCTGAACTGGCAGTGCGATGCAAAAGCACAAAAGCCATTTCTAAGCCCAAGCGCCAATCTGTCAGACAACAAGGAATCTGGAGCTTGCGCCACCTGTAGATGAGGTGCGTGAAAGCGGTGTGGTGCAAATCGGCAAAGCTTGCAGTTGATGGTCATCTGTTGATTCTAGTACGAGCGAATCGCCTTCGCTCCACTCGCCGTATCACCGCTCGAGCAAACACTACTGCAAGTTGCTTTTTACACGCAACCCCCCATCTACCTTGAGTCATAGCAAAACCAAAATTCTACACAATGAGGAAGGCAGAGCCCTGCTGAACGTGGCGCAGCATCCAGAGTGAAGTCGACGCGAGCTAAATGAA